CGATGGCAGAGTTGAAGAATAATTTTGAAATATACGGTTTTTATGTCATGAGTCTCATTACATAAATGTCACACCTCGTATACCGATTAGTTTCTATGTAGGGAACAAGCAGCCACCGCTTGGAAGACAGTTAGAGTAAAAAGTCGAACCATCTGGGTGTTTGGGATCCATAGCATAAATATTTTGAACTAATCAAAACTAAAATTAAACGTTTGATGATAAACACCACTCCGATCCGTTCGATACGGATGACTCTGCTGATGATATTGACATTATCGGCCTCAACAACCGCGTCGTTAGTTCTGNGCTATGAAGTTTACGTCCGACTGATGCGCATCTTATGCTCTTGCATCAATTAGCTAAAGAGTCGGGTGGTTGGAATCAAAATATAATAGTTATAGCCACAGCGATATTCCGATCCAGCACACAACTACTTAAAAAAATAGATTATACCTTCCCATAGTTGGGAATAGCTGCTCCCAGGAGAAGATACCCTCTAGTAGGGGAAGAGGATACCATCTCAATATATATTCGCTGCTATGTCGTGTTAAGTGAAAGTGTGTTCGTGGTGCTCGTATGGAAATGGAAAAAGCATCGAATGTATGACCGTCGCAGAAGACTGTTTGGAACAAGTGGAAAACGATCCCACGCTGCTTGATCTAGTTATTACAGGCGATGAAAAAGTTCGCCTGAGCAAGTCGAAATTGAAAACGACAATTACTGCCCTTTTTATAGCCGTGGAATCGTCCACAAAGAATTTCTTCCACCAGGGCAAACCGTAAATCAAGACTACTGTCGCCAAGTACCAGAAAGATTGAGAAAACGAGTCAACAGAGTGCGACCTGACATCGCTCGTAACAACCCCCCGTGCCACACCGCCCTCAGCGTGTCCCAATATTTGGCCTCTAAAGCGATCGCCGTGTAGCAACAACCACCTTATTCGCCCGTTATGCCACCCTGTGCCTTTTTTTTTTGGTTCCATAGAACAAAATCGATTGTCAAAGGAGCCTATTTTGAGTCAATTGAGGACATCGAGACGGCCGTCACTAAGGTACTCGAGAACATCCCAGTCGAAACGTTCCAGTAATGTTACGAAGGATGGAAAACGCACTGGAATCGTATTATCGTATACTACTTTGAAGGCGATGGCAGAGTTGAAGAATAATTTTGAAATATACGGTTTTTATGTCATGAGTCTCATTACATAAATGTCACACCTCGTATACCGATTAGTTTCTATGTAGGGAACAAGCAGCCACCGCTTGGAAGACAGTTAGAGTAAAAAGTCGAACCATCTGGGTGTTTGGGATCCATAGCATAAATATTTTGAATTAATCAAAACTAAAATTAAACGTTTGATGATAAACACCACTCCGATCCGTTCGATACGGATGACTCTGCTGATGATATTGACATTATCGGCCTCAACAACCGCGTCGTTAGTTCTGATTCCTCCAGGCTTGATAAAGAAGCGAACCGAATGGGTCTGGTAGTGAACGAGGACAAGATAAAATATCTCCAGTCATCAAACAAACAAACAGACATCGCATTCGCTTCTTGGCTCCCACGTCACTGTTGAAAGTCATAACTTTGAAGTGGTAGATTATTTCGTCTATCCTGCATTAACACCAATAATCATGTCAGCCTTGAAATCCAGCGCATCTTGCCAACAGCTGCTACCTTGGACTGAGTAGGCAATTGAAAAGTAAGCTCCTCTCCCGACGAACGAAAACCAAACTCAACAAGTCCCTCATCGTTCCCTTCCTGCTATATGGAGCGAAAGCATGGACGATGACAGCATCTGATTAGTCGGCGTTAGGATTTGTTGAGAGAAAGGGTTTGCGTAAGATTTATGATCCTCTTCCCATTGGCAACGGCAAATATCGCAGACGATGGAACGTTGAGCTGTATGAGTTACACGGAGTTGATTTAGTTCAGCGAATCAAGAAGCAGCGGCTACGCTGGCTAGGTCATGCGGTCCGGATGGATGCGAATACTCTAGCTTTAAATGTTTTCGAGGCAGTTCCCGCCTGTGGAAGCAGAAAAAGAGCAAGACCTCCACCAGTTAGGGAAAGACCTGGCTGTACTTGGTATTTCTAATTGGCGCCAAACAGCAAAAAGAAGAAACGAATGGGGCAATGTTGTTGAATCGGCTACAATCGCGTAAGCAGTGCCTATGCCAGTAAAGATAAACACCTCTTTGATAACGAAAACTGCCAATATTCTAAAGACCACACTTGCAGATCATGCATCTCCAATTGAGTAGATGCCGTTGCTTTGCTGAGCGAAAAGCTCCTGAATATTACGCTGATTTTACAGCCATCCTGGAAATATGACAGATGGGAGAACATCATCGTCTATGTAATTGGTCATTTCAGGTGGCTTACCAAGCGGCAAACGCGACCGGATCGATAAAGTTTCACAATTGGTGGCCCAATATCTAAAGCTAACTTAGCAAAAACNCGATCCGTTCGATACGGATGACTCTGCTGATGATATTGACATTATCGGCCTCAACAACCGCGTCGTTAGTTCTGCTTCCTCCAGGCTTGATAAAGAAGCGATTCGAATGGGTCTGGTAGTGAACGAGGACAAGATAAAATATCTCCTGTCATCAAACAAACAAACAGTCATCGCATTCGCGACTTGGCGGCGTTAGGAGTTTTCGAGAGAAAGGCTTTGCGTAAGATTTATGATCCTTTTCCCATTGGCAACGGCAAATATCGCAGACGATGGAACGATGAGCTGTATGATTTGCACGAAAACTGCCAATATTCTAAAGACCACACTTGCAGATCATGCATCTCCAATTGGGTAGATGCCGTTGATTTGCTGGGCGAATAGCTCCTGAATATTGCGCTGAATTTACAGCCATCCTGGAAACATGATAGATGGGAAAACATCATCGGCTATGTAATGCAACGTTGAGTTTGGATGATAGCCGGGAGGGAGAATACATTCGCGAGTACTGGCATTTACTCCGGTAGTAATAATTTGAATTTGAGCTTTTGCATAGAGAAAGCCTCTTGAGGGAACGAAAATTAGCTGTTTGTATTTTGTTTTTGTAGAAAAACAGAAATTACTTAAATGTTTCGCTTCGAGAAAAAATCTACAAAAATAAAAAAAATTCTGTAATTGGTACAAAATTTTTGTCATATACAATTTTCACTTATTTTTATTTCCGCATCCGTTAATACCTTTTTGATTTTTTCTTTAAAAAATTAGTATTTACTCTTCGAAGTTGAAGTTGTTTATATAAACACAAGGAATATGATTACTTTCCTCACGTTATCAGGTCTATTAGACGAGTTCCTCCGAGATGTGTTGTATACCTCGACCAGTTGCCCCTTCTTGTTCAGTCTTTCCTATTCACTAAGAGATGTCGCTATAGCCGATATAAGCAAAATATAAAAGGTTCGAATCTTGACTAGAAGCGCAATAGGGTAGTTCTCAACAAACATAATAATATTAAATTCGCTTCAGATATCCATATTATGCAGTTGTCAATATTTTTATAAGAATTTAATTTAGTTTGAATTAACATGGCAAAAGTTCATTTTACTTTTGCGCATTAATGAAAATTTCACAGACGGTCTGATGTATTCATACACTTAGGTACATATAATATAGATATAGTGGGCGCTTTTCAACAGCAGAAACGATTTACGGCCGAGCTTCTTCCCCAATTCGTTATGTGCGTCTTATTTTTTTCCTACAAATGGAGGAAAATGGTGAGCTGTTATTTAAGAAAGATAATCGGAGGAGGTGACATTCCGTACCGAGAGGCGACTGCAATAAGAATGAAAAATTTACAAAAATTCTGGATGTTGCTTGGACCATGACTCGAACTCTAGCCTTCCGAATGACAGAACTCCCTTCTACTCGATCGGGTATTGCGGCCGCATGGTCTGATATTAGTGAAGATGAAACTCTTATGTATGTTGGCAGAAGGTTTCTGAAATCATAAAAACTAACGGCTACATTAATGCATTTCGATATACAAAATATATAAGTAAATATTGAGGGAAAAACTTTTATTTTATAATCCTTTAATCTCAATTATAAAATTACATTTCATACTTTATTTTTATTTATTTTTTTAAGTACATTTTATTTATTTTGCTTTAGCTTTCTATTTCATATTATTGTCATTTATTTCAATTTATTGTAACTTATTTCTCTTTTATTTATTTATTTTTTTTTAATTTTTTATTTTATTTCATTTTACTTATTTACTTTTAATTGTGTCTTATTTTATTATAATATATTATCCCATTTTATATTATTATATTTTATTCAATTTTAATTTTTGTTATTTTAAATTATTTTATAGAATATTTTTATTTTTGGTTTATATTTCATTTTAATTTGATTTCATTCCAATTCATTTTATGTTATTTTAATTTATTCTATTCATTTTATTTGATTTTATATTATTTTATATTTATTTATTTTATACTATTTTTATTTATTTTATTTTAGTTTACTTTATTTTATTTTTTTTTAAATTTATATATCGTTTTTATTTCAATTTAACTTATTTTTTTTTGATTTATATTACTTTATTTAATTAAATTTTTTTAAAAACCTTTTTTATATTAAAATATTTCAATTTTATTTCGTTTCAGTTTATTTTATTTTATTTAATGTAATTTTTGTTTATTTTTTATTTTTTTTTACCTTGTTTACTTTATTTTATTATATTTTATTTTAGTTTATTCTATTCATTTTATTTAACTTTATTTGATTTTATATAATATTTTTTATTTATTTTTAATTTTATTTCATTTCAATTAATTTTAATTTATTTTATTGTGTTTTAGTTTATTCCATTCATTTTAATTTTTTTTTTTTTGTTTTGTTTTATTTGATTTATTTTAATTTTTTTCTTATTATATTTATTTATTTTCTGCAGATTAATTTAATATTGCACATGGCCACTCTGACACTGATAACATAATATCATGAAAATATACGTACTGTGGATGGGCAAAGAGGACATGCCGCTTTCGAATTAACGGGTTGTGGAATTCGGAACATCACTTTCATATCTTGTTTCTCTTGATAATTTGACATGTGAACTCTAAATAAACATAATAAGACACAAATGCTAAGTTGGTCGGAATGAATACACACATACATACTACACAAAATTGTTTCAAATCCGTAATGATAGATAACTCGAAATCTAGGAAGTCAGAGTCTTCCATTAAAAAACGTGAAAGTCAATGGCAAAATGAGGTGATCAAGGTAACACTATATACACGTATATACATACATATACATATCAATCAATGCGCTTGCAAAGTTAGTGTTATTTTTTAAGCACTCACCAACAACTAAACTAAAAATTTTGTTCTCTTCTCACGTGATTCCGGTGTTATTTTGTGTACGGGTTTTGAATACAACAATAGTTCAGTTTCATTATTTATCGTAGCCGAGCTGAAAAGCAGTGAGTGCTACCCTGTGTATTGACCTGTGTTCGAATCTTGACCCCAAATCGACTGAGTTTCTTAACAGTCTATTCCTTTTTTTTTGAATTTAATAAAAGAAATAGTAAAATAATAAAATTTCTACTTCCTTTGAACATGTACCTTTCGACAGAATTCAGATATGACAAAATCTTGAGACAACAAAACATAGATAACTTAATATTCAAAAGAGACAAAATATTGTCCGGATAGCATTGAAAGATTGTTGATGTATTTCCTACAAATAGAAGTATAAAAACTTTTAATATCAAATTCACTTAAATACACATTTACTAATACTTTTCTTAAAGGGGAAAACCTCACTGCCTGACATCATTGCACTATCCTATGGAGATCGTTTCATTCCACGGCGTTATTTTTCACAGAGGCTCAAAACGAACCTTAAATTTGCCACCAAAATCATGGAAAAAGATGTCCTCACATTGGTAAATATTACAGCGAATAACGGTTAAATTGAATTCCGAATAGTTTCTTTTAATTTCAGCGCTTCACAGCCAATTACTGGAGACAAAGCTGCGTGAAGATTGCAATAAATAGAACATTACAGTTAAAAGAGGAAAGAATCTTGTTGCTGAGCGACCCGGTGGTGAAAGGTTTAGAAAATAACATAAATGTTTTCGACACACTTCACGCTTATTCTGATGAATACGATTGGCGTTGTTCTCCGCGTTCGAAACCACAGGCTTTCGCTGAAACCACACACGATTCACCGGGATTCGATTCGACTTTCGGTAATGAATAATTTTGGGAGGATTCTTTTTAACTCTTGAGAACAAAAGATAATCGGGGCTGTTCTGAAATCAGGTGAGAATTGATTTCGCTTGGTTTTGGTTTCCCACTCGGGTTTAAAAAGTTGTTCTGTAATCATATAGGAATTGAGAAATATGAACAAAAAAAATCAAATCCAAATGCATTCTATGATTGCATTAAATTGTGGAATAAAGGTTGAATTGCTTAACGCCAATAGTAAACTGATTAATCGGATTCGAACTTGGATTTCGATCAATTAAATTCGATAGGATTTCAGAACGAGATTATATTATTTAAAATCGGGTTCAAAAAGGATTTCAGAACAGTTGTGAATATTTTGATTAGCCAATTCTTACGACTATTAAGCGAGTTCGAATATTCACAAATTTGTCCAAACATCTTTTTCGATTATAGATCCAAACATGGTGGACTGGTCAGCGGATGGACAAATTGTTGCTTCTTTTGGGCAAGATTTAATCATTTGGAAACGGACCGATGATGTTACTATGTTATTTAATGTTAAAAGCATAAAATCCTTAGCTTTTTCGCCGGATGGTAAAATTCTGGCAATCGGCTGCAAAATCAATGATTACCCAGGTAATTATGGCTTTTACTACTTTATGTTGTTAGTTAACGTCTTAAGATTTAGTTTTTTCCATTTTCGAAGCCAGTAGCCTATCAATTTTCGTCTTTCGTGATGAGGGTTTCTTCGGTGTGTTAATCCTTTTATTTCCCTGGCTTGAAGATCCCTATTGTCAAACTTTTTTATTATTTTGGTAATCTTGCCTCTGAACTGTGATAAAACTTTCAGCTTTTTCATTGATGATTTTGTATGCGACCGCCGCTAAAGTGAAATGTGTTTTATTAGCTCGACGGTTTTCATTTGTTTAGGGAAAGAGAAATTAAAAAAATATATTTTTTTTATTTAGACTTTAAAAACTAAATCTCAATAGTTTTGAGCTGGCGCTGCTTTAATAGATTAATTATCGCGTGATACGATGCTTCGTCTAAAAATGAAATATTTTGGGCATTCTCCAAAGTATTATAGAGTTCTTATTTGGGAGACCTGTCAAAACAGAGCATAACTATATGGGATTGCATGAAAAGAGACCAAATATGGCTTTGTTTTAAGCACTTGAAACATGGATACCGCTTTGGCCGAAATTTTGACTGCGTTAAAGCGCCAGTTTGGACAGATAAATATTCAAAGTATGCGCGCAGCCATTTCGCATTGGGCCAGGGCCTTTAATGTTTATCTCTGAAAATCTTACGAATCAATATTAATTTTGTAACTTTGGTGATCTCTATGAATTGATTGTTGAGCCCCGACTCAAAATTGTTAATTTTTTTAAGTTAATTAGTTGTGATTTGTTTGTGAGCAGAACTTACGGCGCGGTTGTTAAAGCCAATAATTTCAACAGCATCTGCGTACGCCAGCAGCGTAAAAGATTGTACCCTCTCTATTCATCTCTGTAGCTCTTTATTTTTTCCTGAAAAATTTTAAAGAAATTACACGATAAGGAATCACCCTGTCTGAAACCTCGTTTGATATCGGACGGCTCGGAGAGGTCCTTTCCGATTCTGACGGAGCTTTTAGTCTTGCGTCGTAGTGACATAGAGGCTACTCTTATTCGTGCTGTCGAAGGCAGCTTTAAAATCGACGAAAAGGTGGTGTTCGTCGATCCTCTTCTCACGGATCTTTTCCGGACCCTTAAACCGAATGAGCCGGAGTCGCTCCACTGAAGTTTCCACTCTTGACCTAAGTGCCAACAAGTTTTGCTCACATTTCCAGGAAGCTTTACTACGCACCATTATACCCCTATGCATACTATATATATGGAACAGAATCAAAGTTCGAAACAGTTGACGGTAAACAGGTCCCAGTACAACTTTTTCAATAATTACGGACATCGACTTTTATCAAAAAAGGAATTTACGTCATCGATCAATGTTGATCGAAAACCAGTAAATATGCATGGTTTGTAGAATGAAAGGTTGCGACAACAACAAAATCACATCTACTTGTGTGACTACCAGTACCCAGGTGTATTTCGTTACACCAAAATAAATATTGAAAAAGTTATGAATCGCAGAAATTTTTTAAATTAAGTTTTCAATCTTTTTCATTTCATGAGTTTTCTTTATTTTCATGAGGGAATATTTGTCTAAAATCTTTTAACAATACCAATGCATTCACGAATGATTGTAGACTCCAACGAAAATCTCCATTAGGAATTCTCGAAGGATTTTGTATACTTCATTGTGCGTTCATCTCAAGCAATTCGTCTTGTTTTTAAATTTTTGGAATCCGTATTTGCAATTCTTCCACTCGGTGGTAAATTAAATTATTCAAACATCTGACAAGAATAATCAGAAATATATTTCCCCATCTACACTAAAACTTTTAAACAGGTAGCAACACACTTCAAAACCTTTTTCAAACTCTCTATATATATACATATACCTGGCACCTCTATTAAGCAGGTACCTTTTCAAGTCTCATCAACTTTTCCTCTGATAAACGGGCAACTCTATTGACCGGGCAAGAAATCTGGTCCCGTTGGTCCTTGCTAATGGAAAGTTTCACTGTATTTAATTTGTGATATCAACATTTTAAAATAAACTTAAATATATTTGCGGATTAATCCTTTCTTCGCCTTGATACCCATATTGAAAATTTTATTATATAATATTAACACAATCGATTTCAATGTTGAACTGAATAGTGTGCTTGAGATCGTAGACATCTTAGTTTGTTGCAGCGAGGATAGATCGCTCACTCAGCTATCAATGATCCCTATAAATGATTTGGATAATTGGGAATACTCTGTGACTCAATTCTTCTTCTTGATGTCAATAAAATACAAAAGTTATTGGGAAATGTAATCCGTCCGTAAGTCCGATCAATTGGTATTTCCAGAAACTAACGTGAAAATACATCGGCTGGTGGACAATTTTGCAGGTTGACACAGATGTTGGTGGTTAGTTTCAGCGTTTGTACATGCCACCGCAACGTTGAGTATTTTACCAGTATTTCGTCCGCTGGTGTTGAACGATGAACGACAGGCGGTGTTGGATGCTAAAAATTTCAGTCGGTCGGTCACTTTCCAAACGAACTTAGGATTTTTTATGCGGGCTATATAATTATTTGAATATGCTTCTTCGCTGCTCAGATACTTTCACGGAAATATCAGCAAAATAATAAAAAAGCGAACAGTACATCCAAGTAATGAGACTGACTATATTGCCGCGATTGTGGTAACCCTACGACTTTGAAATTCCCTTCTCCCGGCATCCATCTTCTCTCCATTGATGTCTTTGCTATCGCTCTAGCTTGTTTAGTTCGCCTGCTGTGTCGTGTGTTCGTGGAATTGTCCGTAGAAAGTTTACGAAAACGAGTCAACAGGGTGCGCCCAGACATCGCGTGTCCCAATATTTGGCCTCTAAAGGGATCGCCGTGTTGCAACAACCGCCTCATTCGCCGATATGTCACCCTGTGCCTTTTTTTTGTTCCCTAGATCAAAATCAGTAGTCAAAGGAACCTATTTTTAGTCGAAGCGTTCCAGAAATGTTGCGAAGCACAGGAAACGCGCTGGAATAGTTATATAGCTGCCCAAGGAGAGTACTTTGAAGGGGATGNCACGGAAATATCAGCAAAATAATAAAAAAGCGAACAGTACATCCAAGTAATGAGACTGACTATATTGCCGCGATTGTGGTAACCCTACGACTTTGAAATTCCCTTCTCCTAACATCCTTCTTCTCTCCATTGATGTCTTTGCCATCGCTCTAGCTTGTTTAGTTCGCCTGCTGTGTCGTGTGTTCGTGGAATCGTCCGCAAAGAATTTCTTCCACCCGGGCAAAAAGTAAATCAAGTATAATATCGCCAATTACTAGAAAGTTTACGAAAACGAGTCAACAGGGTGCGCCCAGACATCGCTCTTAACTGGATCCTTCATCACGATATCTCGCCGAGCCACACCGCCCTCAGCGTGTGCCAATATTTGGCCTCTAAAGGGATCACGGTGTTGCAACAACCGCCTTATTCGCCGATATGTCACCCTGTACATTTTTTTGTTCCCTAGATCAAAATCGGTAGTCAAAGGAACCTATTTTTAGTCGAAGCGTTCCAGAAATGTTGCGAAGCCTCGTATACTTATATCCAAATAATACTTATTTTTGTCAATTCGCCAGTGATCGCTTTCCTTAAAGAAAATATTTTTTATATTTCGAGCAAATTTATCTGAAACGAACCAAATTTTCTTTATCTATATATAAGGCCTTTAGGAACCGATTGTTGCATCAACTTTGAAGCAGTTTAGAAATTTTGATCGAGTGATTCATAAAACAAGGATGCGCGTTCTCACAACATCAATACATACATAGATCGCAGGATTACAAATACACATATTCAGAAGATTTTATTTACTGAAGTGATTTATTTTAATTACAATTATTATCTGGCAAAACTATTTAGTTTTTGTCGAATATTCTATACTTAAGTATTTGAGAAGTTTTCATTATTTTATGTACATACTTACATACATACATATGAATACCTTTCAATAGTTTTAGAGTTGTGGAAGGTCGTAAATTCAACGAAGTCTTTGGTTATAAATGGAAAAGTTTTCTCTCCGGACCATTCAGAACTGCAAAGTATGATCTGGAACCCCTCAGGCACTCAAATTATATGTGGCACCGGATCGGGGTTTTTATATGTTCTTTCTACGCCGGATTTGAAGGTAATCAGAAAGGTGCGCCGCCATAAGATGCCTATAACCAGAATTAAATTATCACCGAATATGCGATACCTTGCCAGTGCAGATATAAGTGGAGACATTGTGGTTTACAATTGGAGTTCATGTAATGTCTATCTTGTGGTTTGTTCAAAGCGGAAACGACACACAGATTTCGATTGGCATCCTTGGAATGGTGAAGATTTAATTATAGGTAAGTGAAATTGTGTTTTATTCACATACATGTGTATGTATTTATGTATTTATTTGTAGCTGAATATGAGTAGAGATTGATACAAAGACATCTATTCGGTATATGTACATAGGTATACATAAATATATATGTGCACTGTAAGTAAACATTAATAATATTTTTATACTTTTTACGATCATGAAGAGTTGTATTAACCTTGATCCGAAATGTCTAAGTGCCAGAAGGAGAAGAGAGAGACGCATAAAAATGTACACCGATCGCATCACGTCCGTCTCTCTGTCTGCTTGAACGCCAGCTGGCCTCTAAGTTTTTGAGGTAATATTTTAACCAAACTTGGCACGCATTGGTGTTTTTGCACTGCATTGATCATTTGTTGGAATTAGCTCTATCGAACCACTATGGGATACTCGTATGATGTGTACTGACCACCTATCTGTATGTGTAGGTCACTTCTTTGGTGCTCAAAATCTTACATGTCAATATTGTGAGGAAATTGCCAAATACGAGTGTCAGCTGACAATGAGATGCCGATAACTAAAGCACATTCTAGAGCGCGAGTATCGAACAATTTGTATTTCGTACGAGCATGCTAATAGTATGAAAAATATATATGTATGTACATACTTCAAATAGATCGATCCATTTCCCATAAAACATGAATTTCATGTAAAAAGAACCATAAATACGATTTTTTTCGAATAGGAAAGTCCCTAGGCCACTTTCCGAAAACGTACTTGGTATAAAACTTTCCGAAAACCATAGAAACAATCTGACTGAACAAAACAATTTGGAGAACAAACATAATAATTTTACTCATATACATACATACATATGTTCATTTATAGAAGATATTGATTTATAATAAAACAAAAGTGTAAAAATTAAGTGTGAAACTAAATACGAAAGAACAGCATCCGAATATATTTCCAGCCGATGAAATTTTGGAGCGCAAATAGCAGCAGTTCTATCGCCAAAAGAAAGATGTAATCATCTAAACTAGAGAGTAGTTGAAATTTTGTTTGGAGTCATACGAGGTAAAGACGGGTTGTATCATTTCCCGAGCCAGCAAGAGTTTAAATATAGGCTTACAAGCTACATTCGTGGGTATAATGAAGGCGGCAGCTGGATGAGGGAACACTTCTCCAGCCTAATGAATGGCAGTGAAAATGTTGCACCCGGAGATAGTGAACCCGTAACTCCAATTGATGACGATGGAAAAGTTGTTCCGTTACCCGATGATGAAGAAGTAATTTTGTTGACTCTGGGGCTTAGTATTTCACGCTCGACAGTACCTTATTATAGAGGAATTGGCGTAGCCTGTGGTTCTCAGTTTTTGTCGATTGGGAAGGATACACATATGTACATATGTATATAATAGGTTGCGATCATCCATGATTTGCATAGAAGCTGGTGCAATCAACTTGTTTGCCGCCATATTTGCTCGGCAGGCAATCTGTCGGATCCGCCGTTTTGTTTTTTCCAAGCGAGCGTTTGTTATTCGAACTCCTTCAAAGTCGAGCATCGTCTTCGATTTCTTCCATTTAAAATTTTGCTTCATATTTCGAATAGTATTTATTTGCTTCCTAATTAGTCAGCTAGCACTAAGAACTCATCGATATACGGTTCGCAAGTCGCGATCATCTATATAATTTTTGGGCTTATTAAGGCCGTGCAAGTGCAATTTCAAAACATTTTGAATCCTTCCGATTATTCCTATACATATACTATATATTAGCTTATGCAAAAGTCTTGACATACACCTTATCCGGCAAAATAGCGTTTTATCGGTACTTCAGCATACTTATCATCAATAAATGATCTGCAAAATCTATATCCTCCAGGATGACCTGCTGTGGTCATTTTTAAGTCGTTTGCTTTAGATGATCTTCTTGGCATAAATTTCACTATATGTTTACATCATCATCTTTCTTACAGTTTCTATTATTACTTTAGAATCGTTAAAAAAATATTAAAAAAGAATTCAAAGCATCTTGACTTCATTTACTAAGACCTTACATTTGCATTGCATTGTAATTTCATTAAATGTGAAAATTGTAAGTATTAATTGAGCCGTTGGGCTTTGCAAGTGTCTCCTCTTCTAAGTGGATATATTAAGAGATTTTAAGAGCTTAGAAGTTTACAATTGATCGTGATAGCTTAAGCAAAGAAAAAGAAGAAATGCAGCATCAAAACGGAGCTCCCTAAGGTACTGCATTATTTTCAATTTATTAAGGTTGTATAATATTATATATTTCGTAATTAAAAAGCAGCCGTTTCAACTTTCAATACTTCTAAACTCTAAAGCTATTTATCTACTTTGCTTTGTTTTACCAATCACAATTTTCACTGTATGCTTGATGGCCTCTTGAGCATTCGGTTCTGTAAAACCAAAATAGATTTTCTTTAAAAATTCTCTGAGGTTTTGAATAGTGTTGTTGTAGCGGTTCGCTAACCCCGCTTAGGGACAGGTATGATTAATCTAAGTCGCCGAGGTCATTTAATGGGAGGTCCAGGAAAAGAGCTGTTTCAATGAGGTTGGACCAAGGGGAGATAGGGGTTAGATGAGTTGTTTTGAGTGGGCATATGAAGAGGTGATTATTGTCGTGCGGAGACTCTCCACATGCAGGGCATACGTTGGTATGCTGGGGTCTAGTCTGGATAAGTAGGAGTTTAACCTGCTTCAGTATCAAGACCTGAGTTGGGTCAGGGTCACGCGGGTCTGTCGATGCAGCTCGAGCTCGTTGTCTGCTATAGGCGGTGGTTTTTCTCCGAGCACTTCATTCACTGGAAGGTAGTTCTTGAAGGTGTTGACTGACTCCTGGTTCCTGGCGTTCAGTGCTGGATTGTGTCCTTAAGACTTAGTACTCCCTTTCTGATGTGCCTAGTTGGAGCTTCAGCTTCTATTAGGTGCCTACTGGGATGCTACCGCACGGATGCTTCGGTATGCAAGTGATGATCCGGCGACAACAGGAGGTTTTCTGTCGCGGTCCTGAGGGCGATGTTCTGGCAAGCCTCTCTCTCAAGGCAGCCGGTTCTACGTACCGGAGTTGCCCGGATTTTATCCGGCCAAGGGCTGTCAACCTTTCGGCGTCCTAACCCCGTTTAGGTCAACAGGTAACGTTTTGAATAGTGTAATTGGTCATGCTATTTTTTGCATCTTTGTCGCTACAGTTACGATTCTTTTTATTGTAAATTAAGCCTCGACTGAATTGAAATTACAATTTGCCGTACCATTCAATGAACTGTTGGCTCCTATGGGTGCATCTATCGAAATTTGTAGAAGATTTTGTTTAACTTAATGACATATCAACATCGGGAATATTATTTTATTGCTCCCTCCGCAGCTTTCCTTGTTGTTAAAATTCTTTTACTTTTTTAGACACTACCAGCTAGCTATTTTACATACCTTCCAGCCGAACCACATGACTGAAGGAGAGGTAAGCAGTCGCATGTTGTTTACTTACTTTTTTACTTTACTGGAGTAAAGTAAAGCCGTTCATTCCATTTTCCCGCTGTTTGGCGCCGATTGGAGATGCCTAGTACAGCCTTCTGCAGGACTTCCTATTCCTCTGCTTCCACCGGCCGGTACTGCATCCAAACCCTTGAAAGCTCTCAGTATAGAAGTTGTTTCTTGATTCGCTGAACTATGTCAATATCGCCGTATATCTTATACAGCTCATCATATCATCGGCTGTCCATTCGCCGTTCCCAACTCATATAGTACCGTAAATCTTCCACAAAACCTTTCCCTTGAAAACTTCTAACTCCGCCTCATCGGATACCGACCATATAACGTTGCCAAAACCATGAGGGACTTGTAGAGTTTTCTTTCGTTGGGACAGGACTTTACTTTGCAATTGCCTACTCAATCCAAAGTAGCACTTGTTGGCAAGGTTGATTCCTCGTTGAATTTCCAGACTGGCATTGTTGTTGATGTTATTACTGGTACTAAAATAAAGAAAATTATCTACGCAGAGGCGTGGGAGCCGAGTAGCGAGTGCGATGGCTGTTTGTGTGATGACAGGAGATATTTCGTCTTGCCATGGTTCACCACCAGACTCATATTCTTCGTTTCATATCCAGTCTGGCAAAAGCTGGACTCACGTCGCGGTTGTTAAGGACGATAATGTCAAAATCACCGATGTACGCAAGTAGTTGTATACTCTTATATATTCTATTCAGCTATGTAGCTGGTATTATTAAAGTCACTCGATAAGGAATCACCCTGTCTGAAACCTCGTTTGGGTCTTTTGACTTACCAGGTCTGAAGCCACACTGATAAGGTCCAATTAGTTTGTTGACGGTGGGTTTTAGACTTTCACACAATACGCTCGATACAACCTTATAGGCGATACTAAGGGTGCTTATTCCACGATAATAGGCGCAGACTGTGGGGTCTCCTATTTTATGGATTGGGCAGAACACACTTAAAAACCGTCGGGCATGCTTTCGTCAGACTATATTCTGCAAAGTAACTGATGCATGACCTTGTCAGCTCTTCACCGCCATGTTTGAATAGTTCCGCCGGTAGGTGGTCAGCTTGAGCCCCTTTGTTGTTTTTTAATGATAAATGTATTACAATAGATATGGAAACACTTGCGATAGAGTATTTCAATCGTTTCTTCAAATTTTTATAATAGCCATCAAATTTGGAATATGGAATGAATAATAAAAGTGTTTTTATAAGAACGCAAATCATATCTAAAAACAAAACTTTAGGGATCTGAAAAGAAAATGCCTAAAAATTTTAAGTATATAATGGAAATGGCAATGCCCAGTTTCAAACAGCAAAACATGATAATCATACCCTTCATTGACATGGAAATTGGTTCATTAGTTTTGGGAATGTCAAGCCCTCCGAATAAAATAAATAAAGCTTCTCATAAAAATCTTCAACCGAGAACGGAGGCGGCTAATTGGGGGAGAAGCTTGACCGAAAACCGCTTCAGCGGTTACAAAGCGCCAAATATATGTACATATATCGGTTTCAATTAAAAATAGGAGTACTAAACAGGACTTACGGAGAGAGAACCAAAAGACAAATAAGACCAATAAAAATAAATAATACTTCGGGGGCTTTATTCATCTTAGTTTATACATACATATATATATGTACATATATACATATATATATCTACATTTAAGGGTTACCAAGTATTCGACAACTATTTAATTTACACATTAACACACACTACTACATACATATGTATATATAATTCGGAAATAATATATTTTCAGCTGAAACGGTACCGGCCTCAATAGTCGTACTTCACGTTCCAAGTAAAGAGATCGTTGCATACTATCAAAGAATGGATCGAAGAATTGTTATAAACTACATTACCTTTAGTAAAATTACAGCCGAATTGCTTGTGAGTGTTTCAATGAGAGGTAAGTGTATTACCGTTAAGGCTGTTATCAAATTATATCTCCAGAACCGTTCTGAAACCCTAACGGAACTGATGTTGCATCAATATGGATTTCCGACTTAGAATTAAAAGGATGTTTAGTAATCCTAGCGGAGATTAGAAATTCCACTGAAAAGTCAATCTGATTCGAAGTGTTATAATCCCCGCAAGAGAGATAGCAGTTATCTAGGCCTACGTCAGTCACAAAATTACTTTTTCTGTTCTTTATAATATGCAAATTTATATGTAGAATGGAGTAACACCTCGCATCTTTTTTCCATATCCTTTTATATCCTTTATCATCTATTCTCCACGGTAGTACATTCAAAACCTTTAACCACTTTGGGTAATCAACAGACCTCTACGGTCTCACGGAGATCTTTGCAGCATGACGAAGTTGACCGCCCGCTCGGATCTCCTGAGATGGGCCGGATGCAACATTATTCACTAGGATCGCGAGAGAGATCATGAAGAGGGCTTAACCTTCACTTACACAACACCGTGCAGTATCGCCTTATCCATAGCGACATCGATCGCATTGTTACAACCCTAGAATATCAGGGCATATCTATCCGGCAACGCGATGCCGAGCTCGAGATATTCAATGTATCCTCCTCCTGTTACAAGTTGCCCAGTTGGATATAGCCCCTGAGGCGACCACCTTTAGGTATGGGCGATTTTAGCGAGCATCATGATCTTTGACATTCTAGCCTGTCAAACCACCGTAGAGATAGCGGAACAGATAGACGATTCGACATTTTGCACAAAAAACGATAATACCTCGGACGGAATTTACCGAGAACGTGTTTAGTGCTCTTCCCACTCCATCAGACGTTATTCCGCGGTATAGTCGTGACCGCTGCCACCCGCTACATCCCAGCAGGCCGAATTGTAGAAATCCACCGTAATTTCTCGACGGAAGCGGCGGTTCTAGCATCAAGGCGCGACACCCTTCGTAGCACCGATCCCGGTAATCCCCTAATCAGGGAGAGCAACCAAAGCTCAGTGAAATCATTGTCTAACCCGACGAGATGCGCTGACCGAGTAGGAATTTCTTTCGATGACTCTTTACACTGCATCCTTCGGTTTAAAAAATGAAGCGACAAGTAACCCGCCGCTTGTACAAACTGCAAAACACCAGCGCAGCGCTCGATGTTTCCAGGGAAGTTGTTCAGGACGAAATAAGCATGCTAACGCTTAAACAGCTAGAGCCAGCGGATCTCAATTTGTCTTTGTAGAATTCCTTTTAACTTAAATTTTTCTTAAGTTCATTTACGTTTTCTCCCACTGCCTGGCTTATCATCACTGTGCAAGTGAAGCGTCGAGTTGAGTCCACACAGACTCATCAGAAAGGGATTAAAGAACCACTACAACAACAACAACAACAACAACAACAACATGAAAGAAAATATTATAATTCGCTAGTGTAGTATCTTGTTAAATTCGCCTTGGCTACATAATAGATATAATCATAGAGCCCCTATATGTATTTGACAGGTATAATTTTGTTGGGTAATTTCAAATCCACGCAATGGCAGACAATTAACACGGGGTTAACATTTTGAATTTAATTGGCCATGTCTGCCATTGATATATTTTTTTCCTTTTAGCCTTAGAAACTCATACATACATATATGACGCGGCAGACGGCTAAATGGCGTGCACATATCAGCAGATAACCACCCTGTACGATGGTATGCATGGACTTCATATAGCTATGTATGTACGTATCTTATTTCCCCTAGGTATCAGTGTTGTACTTATTCTAGCCTTTAGTATGTTCCGAAGTACTTTTATTCATTCAAATAATGTAGGATTTATACATTAACGACCCCAAGGTAATGATTTTGTCAGATGTTTAGAGTATATTTGTGAATGCCTAAGCTGATATAATATCTCGTGTTTCGTGAATATAATATTACATAGTATTGCTGTTGAAGTTGTTACAAGATATTTACAGTGCTGCAAAAGCAATTTAATTTCACAAATATCCCCGAAAAAGCTTCATTACAGTGGACTAATTCTTCGTCTACGATTGAACAACCATCGACATCAACTAATATCTCCATATTTGATGAAACGACGATGAATGATTTCCTTCTACAAAAAGTAAATATTCCTGAGAAATCCATGATATTGTTTATACAGAATTTTTTTATGGCACACATGGTAACAGTACATGTAATATAGTAATAGATATAAGAAATCATTATAGTCATTGAATTAGTTGCAGTGCTATTGAAGACCTCGAAACGGATAAGATGTGGCAAAATGTTTGTAATTTTTTTGAAGGGGAAGTAATTAATTGTGACTGCCAGAGACAAATGAAGCTAATATAAGCTCAAGATGAATTCACAAAGATGAGAGCAGAAGAACAAAAACAACCATTACCGTTTATTTTGTTTTTGTATTCAGTGTAACAATTGTCTAATTCATGACAAATTCATATAATTCGCTTTTGTCAAATCGAATTAATAATTTAAAACAAGTCATAAAAGATTAGCTTAAAAATCAAAGTTTGCTTATTCAAATGACATTAACAATAAAGTAGTTTTATTTTATGGGATGTTAGGGAGTTCTTGAAGAACATGTATTCGGAAGGGAATTTCGTAAGCGATGGCAAAGAGAAAATAAATGTACTTCTTTGGCAGCGGCTATAAAACTCATTCACATTACACCAAATATACACAGGAGAAAGTTTTATTTAAAAACAGTATAAACGTAATTTTCTTTTTCAAAAATTTTTTATGCATACTAAGCCTCTCTCCTAAATTTCTCTGGCAATCACGAATCCAGATAGATGTAGATCCTTCATTTTGTGGAAATCGGAATCGCCTCCCCTTTCTATGTTCATACAAAACCCATCGGTTTGCTTTGACAAGAATCCTAAACAGGAGTAAATTGGTGAAAACAAACGCCCTCGATAAAGAAGCCATACCAATTTTTACAGGCCGCTCAAAGCTGGATGAATAAGAGGACTCCCAATAATAAGATAAGAATATCAGTTACTATAGATTCCGATAGTCAAGCTGTCATCAGATCTCTACAGTGTAACAGTACCACATCTAAAGCGACTATAAAATTTAGAAGCAATCTGAGAAAACTCTCAGCTAAATGCAGCACTGCCATAGTTTGGCTGCCCGGACACTCCAAGCAGTTGCACGGCAAACAAGTTAGTGAGAGAAAGAGCCCTTCTATCCAAAATAAAGCATGTGCGAGATGCAGGTTTACCTTTGTCATGGCAATAAATTTGTTAAATAGGCAAACACTAGATGGCAGAATGAGATCACGTGAAACGTGACCAGACAGCTATGGCTTCATGGAAAAATATGCTTTCACTATAATGATTTTTGCCACAGAAGAAGATTCTATAGAACACCAACACTTCTTTGTCTGTCATGCTGAGCTAGCTTCTTGCGAAAAACTAGCAATCTCGTTACTTTTATATTGTACAGGAAAGGGTTCGAGCATTTGATAAAGTGAAGATAAAAGTGTCATAATAGCGGTATAAAAATGGTCATATTGACCGAAGTGTGTTAGTCACTGATTATTAGCCGCATCAATTCAACTCAAATCGAAATCGAAACATTCCTTTTATTTAAAAAAGGCACAAATCTTATTTGAAAATATTCAGCTATACAATAAGAAATTCAAAATAAAAAACATAAAAATGTAAACAAACACACAAAACATAAAGAAACATTTTGACTAACTTTACACTGAGGCGAATTAATTAAATAAAAAAAAGTTGAATTCGCTGCCCTGGTAACTGCACTTTGTTTAACTTCGTCTTGTTTTTCTCTTTCGCTTTGTTTCGTTTTTATTATTTTGGCCACAGTAGCCGAGTGGGTAACAGTCATGGGCTCGTGATCTGACCACATTATACAGAATTAATTATAAAAGTAAAAAATTTTTTTTGTTTCTAATTACGGTTCTGTGGTTCTTTATTTCCAAATAACTCTTATGTTGTAAGCACTGTACTCAACTTTCTTTATTTCTGCAGGTAACGATGGCTGCTGGGAATTCAAAATACTTGTTATGGCTTCCCTGAACCGAGTTGTTGATTTATTGAACATTCCTGAGAGTGGAGCAAGATTCGTGGTGTGGAGTCCGGATGGCACCAGATTGGCAACATCTGGTAACGATGAAACTTTAACAATTTGGAATTTTTGCCCTGATAATAGAACAGAGCGCAATGCTTTTGGAACATTGAGACAAAAAAATTCTTGCAAATTAAGTTCTAGATTTGGTAATGTTTTTAATTCATGGGATTGTATTAAGTAATTTGTGCTATGTCTCGCGTTATTTGTACATTGTTTGTAACTTATTTATGTTTTCCCAAAATAAAATCTTAGAAGTTAGGTCAAAACGAGCTTAGACTTCATATAACACCTTGAAGTTATTGGAGTGTGGAAAGTCTATGTCATGTGAAAACTTTTCTTTAGTAACTTAAATTTAGCGCATTTCTTTAATAAAAAGTCCGAAGTTTATTTCATTATCTAGTAAAACTTATAGGTTAACTTTTTCTTGGATATTTTTTTTATTTTAAACATAGTACTGTTATTAATTGATCTAAGGTAAATTCAGTATTTTTTCTTTTTTATTCACATCTTTTGGAGCTTCATAGAAGAAAGTCTAGGAAAAATGTTATTATTTTATTTATTTAAACACATGCTCAACCTCAATAGGTAGGTCTGTTATTTTTTTTCTAACTTATTGTGGATCGCAAATATGTTATCATTCGGTTTGACATTATTAAAATATTAAAAATATCGATTGGACTATTAAATGTACATATTTCCTTCATGTCGGAAACTACAGGAAACAGTAAATGATTACTGTTCAGGGTGAACGGTTTTTAAATATGTGCAAGATGGAAATATTAACTATACTATTTTATTTACTACATATATCCCTTTATATTGCATTAAGATTGATAATAAAATACAATATATATTATATCTATATAATAATATATATATTTGGGTGAGCTCGATCAAGAGGAAACAATATGGTAGTTGGCTAGCAAGAAAAAACAACAAAGATGGTTTGTAAACACACGAACATCGGCAGTACTCTTAAAATTACTTGATTTAAACTAAGCGCTTTCAGAAAGGAAAAGTTAAAGCAGCCCATACGAAAGAAAATAAAAAAGTTCAAGCAAATTGAACCATTAATAAGATTATTAAGAACCAGTTTCTGGATGTTAATCCAAACGATAAGCTATCAACAAATTAAATTTCAAGTGAATTGAAACATTACTAAGATTATCTCGCATGAATCGATCCCCGAGATTCTCTCACTTGTATACAATCCATCTAATCTGCATAATTCATTGAAATGAAAGCTATGGAATTGCTCGGCTTTTACGCACGTAAATGCAAGGAAACGGATCCCGTATACACACGATTTGTTTTGAATACATCAGTCACAGGTCCTCTTTCCGATGTGAAAAATAATAGCTATCTTATGAGAGCGCCATGTAAATACAAAGTTGTCACCGCTTGCCCATGCGGTTAATGACGGTTGTCCCGCAGAAACCAACGGCGATTATAAATTTGTTCAAAAGTGTGCAAACACACTAGCAGCTGGCAACATTTCGCCGCTCTCAGTAGCGTCTATAACTCGTGTATGTATCTCGCTCTTCCAGTCGGCTGTTATGGACGGCAGGTAAGTAAAATGGGTTGTTGCAGCATTACACTGCATGTTACCATGGCCGAAAATATGGCAATGGTGTTTGTGAACACTAAGAATTTCAGCCTATACCATATGACTTCTGTCACTGGCGAAATATCTCGTCTTATTTTAGTGAGTTCTACGAAAGAACTTTTTATGCAGACTCGCAGGCCGTCAATTGAATGATGTAGTAGATCTCAAGGATCAAGGCTTTGTATTAAAAAAGGAATTTTATGAAAAAACAATAATAATTTGAAATACATTTAAATTTCTCATATTTTCGAGGTGGATAATCCAGCGCCTTGGACCATTATGGTCATTGCACTAGCACCCGTTCGTAGCTAAAATCTGTTAATCCAACAAATTTCGCCGCACTTTGGCAGTTATTGTAAATGACTATATTTTTGTGTGAAACAGCTCTGTGGTGGGATTCCCTGTGGTAAATATGATAACGACTTTCCGATCGTTAAAAGTACTTAGCTTTTGATCAGTAGTGCAATTCTGTAACTTCTATCGACACGATTCGTCGGGTCGCAAAGTAAAATGGGTAGTTGCAGCCTTACTCAGTTTTTACTATAATCGACAACGGACATTAAAATAGAAAATACGTCAAACACAAAGAGGAATGACAAAAAGATATAAATACGTTATTTCAAATTGGTATGTACAAATAATATTGTATATAGTTTTTTCTGCAAGTTTTTGAATATATTTTTTAAAAATGTAAGTAAAATGAAACCTTTATTTTTTTTTTGTCTTATTAGACATGACTCTTTTATACGTCTTATTGTAGAATGCCTACGACAAAAAGAAACCGAGCTACGATGGCGCAGCTAATTCGGATGATGTATTTTTTTCGTATAAACGCTGGGTTGCGCATGGTCTAGGTTCCAGAAAACCCGCGGAAAATCGGACTGCGATGGGAAGTGGAGCGCTGAAAACCCTTGGTGGGGCTTTGAAAGACGTCGACCAATGGCGCACGGTATGTAAAAATTGTTAAGTAATTTGGCAGTATGTAAGGTATGGAGGGATTTGAAAAGCTGTACATACATCAAGGTTAGATACCGGAAAGGAAAGCTTTCCTGAAAGTGTGTCTGCAGAATGCTGTTTCGAGAAAAACGCGTTTAAAGATAAAATAATCATTTTCACTCGTAGCTAATGAGACTCTCTAGCTGCGAGCGGCTGCTCTTTAATTTGCTATAACTCAAAAACTATTTGAGATATCGATTTGAAATTTTAATATGTTATTTTTAAAGGCGTAATCTATTGAAATATGAAAAAGATCGATTATTTTGAAATTTCACACTAGGTGTGCCCTTTAAGTTAAACTTATAATAGAACGAGGAGTTCTTTTTATAATTTTCATTTAAGTTTTAATTTGAAAAAATTAAGTTTTTGGAAAATATTTTTTTCATACTTAAGCTAATATCTGACACCATATTAGATATACTATAATCAATTTCTTATTACAATGTGTCAAAGAAATAATGCAGTTATGATCATAAGTATTAGTTTTAAGATTCCCCTCTAAGAAACTTGAAATCCATACAAAAAACTTACCTGTGATTATAAACTGAAATCTGTTATGAATTATGTACTTAAATTATCTTAACTTATGGCATAAGCTGCCATTGTTCTTCTCTCTAGGAACTCTTGCTCAAGCTCAAGTATTTCTTTGTTGCGAGAGGCATCGCCAAGTTCCTTTAAGAAGTAAGAAGAAGAAAGTCGCTCGACTGGGTTTCGTGCTTTACACAATGCCTCATTATAGCGGAATTTAGGACTTCTTTGTGGTTGGTTTGGAAGAGTAGGCGTCAACCACGGCTCTAATGAATATCTAATGGAATTGCCGCGCTCCTGGGTACTAGGCATTGACCACCAAAATCTTCAGATTAGGATCATATACATAGCTATGTGAAAATATAATTAACTTTGTTACTATAATAGTTATTGAAAACAAATTTACTCTCAACTGAAATGGTATTCATCCAACAAATGATGACGATGATGAAGCAAAAAACTTCCTTTCATTGGAAATCTAACCTTCGCAAGGAACACCAAGCGCATTAAATTCAACGGCTTACTGACGACATGGATATTCCCATTGCTCTCCGACGGGACGTCGATAGCATCTATTGTCAACAGATTGAAAAATTATTAAAATTATAGTGAAGTAAAACCAATTATATAAACTAAATATTGTAAAACGTAAATACAAAAAAATATGGCACTTCAATATTTGACTTTCCCACTTCAATGCAAATGAGATTCGGGATCTACATATAATTAATATCTTTAAACTCCCATACTTTGATTTTTCATCATTGTGTGAGATATAGAGTCCCGCTCCGAGCGAGTTCAGATCATATGTGATTATTGTTGCTTTAATCCCTTGGTGTTTTTTTTTCAATTCTGGATAGTTAACAATGCAGAAAGATTTGGTATTGAGCAAAAGAGGTTAATGCACCAGATGGAACTGGAGAATAAATCCAATAAATCTCTGCAGAAAATGAGCGAGAGTGGTGTTATTAAGGTTGCAAAGGTTGGTTTTACTGGTTGCCAGTAATACTTGTGAAGAAAAGCGGCCACTTGCCGTTTTGCGTGGACTATTGTGGATTTTATGATCGATGATACTCTAAACTTGTTGAGTGAAAGTTTTGAGGAACACGGGAGAAATTTCGAAGAAGTTTTACAGAATATAGGTGACACTGGTTTCAAACTAATTGTACTCGGCTTCCACTTCACTGTTGACAGGCATTACTTTGAAGTCGTAGATAATTTCGTCTATCTATGAACCAGCAATATTTTCAGCCTTGAAATCCAATTCTGGAACGCAGAATCACTCTTGCCAGCAGGTGTTACCTAAGACTGATTAGGCAACTGAAAAGTAAAATCCTCTCCCGACGAACGAAAACCAAACTCTATACGATGACAACATCTGATGAGTCGGTGTTAGGAGTTTTCTAGATAAAGGTTTTGAGTACGCTTCATAGCCCTTTGCGCATTGCCAACGGCGAGATATACGGCGACATTGGCATAGTTCAACGAATCAAGAAGCAGCTGCTATGCTGGCTAGGTCTTGTGGTCCAGATGGATACGAATACTCCAGCTTTGAAAGCTTTCGATGCAGTACCCACCGTTGAAACCAGAGTAAGAGGAAGACCTGCACTCCGTTGGAAAGACAGCTCTGCATCTCCATTCAAATTGCATTGAAAAGCGATTGAACCGAAACGAACAAGAGTTAAGGAAGGTCGTGGACGAAATTCAATAGGCTGGTGATATCCTGGTTATTTGAGGTTTGGAGTGAATGGTGATCGAAGAAGAATTGTGAAGGAGGATTTACCGTTTTGTGGGAAGAGCTATGAATCGACGCTCTTGTAAGACAGCTAACGCAAATTATGAGTGACAAAGCGAAGGCCAGGTATGATAAGACGATGAACTCCGAAAAGTTTTCTAGATGGATATTGAATGTTGTTATACAATGCACTACGGCCGGAACAGGGCGTTTCTGAAACTTCAAGTGCATATGGTATAATCAAAGAGCTAAATGACTTACTGTATCAAATTCAAAGCGTTGGGAGTCCAAGAAACTAAATGAATGTGGTCCACTTGGAAAGGCTTGCAGCATTTGGAATAGCAATTGTTTCTGATCGGACGAAGGAGATGCCGATAACTAAAGAGCCATAACTGTCTTTCTAAAACTAAGAGCGAACAATTAATGAGGTATATAAGAGCACTACCAACGCAATTAGGAAATTTTACAACAAATTTGGTAACTTTTATTTAACAATTCTCTTTACAAAATTATTCATAATTAAAAATTATGTTATTTTCTATTCATTCATTTACATTCTCATCCGAGAACTCTGCTATTAGTCTTTCTACCCAACTTGCGTGTTTGCCAACATTAGTGAAAATGGTTGTTCGTGTTGCTGAGCAGGCTCCACCATCTGAAACAATACCATACTGGATGTTGCCATTTATTATCGCTGGACTGCCCATATCATCGGTGCAAATGTCAGAAATTTTCGTGCGATCTCCAGCACAAAATATCAAATCACTGTCATCTTCCTCGAGCAAATATTCAGCGCACTTCTTTTCGGAATAAACTTTGGCCTTGGTAAAACGTAAGTTCTTTGTCATTAAAGTATCCGTCTTGTTGCTTGACAATCCCCAGCCGTATATGTAAACTGATGACGGAGGTTGTGCTGTGGCATCGAACAGCTCAACTTCTCCAAATAGTTTATTAGTGCTGTTGAATGCGCGCTTTAAATGTAAGAGAGCTATATTATAGGAGTGTCGGTTCTCCACGAACTTTGGATGATAGACTGTCTCTCTAACTTTTCGCAATTTTCCTCCAGTTTTGAAGGCTGTCGTACCAGCACGCACTAGAAGTTCAGCCGGCTCAACATCTTTAATGCAACTAGCAGCCGTCAATACTACGTCGTTGGTTAATAAAGTGCCGCCACATTTTAAATGGAAGTTCTGTATAATAGACACTTGCCAAGGCGCCCCGCCGCGTGGTACCTTCCTTCCACCTATGACGAGAGAAGTTTTATTCCGACCATTATTTTGCTTAGCAGCACTTGAGGGGCTTACAACACTAATAAGCAGTATAAAACACGAATAGTTTGTAACCCGCATGCTGATGAGAAACTGAAATGAATATTGTATTTATCGCTGCATTGTCTTTTATAGTTTTTATAGCCAATATAAGTTATATTCATACTTTCACCATTGCGTAAGTATGTATGCGTTAAAGTGATCTTAATTATTCGCGCTGATTCGCTATTTACACCGGTTTGTATGTATACATATGTATGTATGTCAATGCATTTGTTTACAGTAGCTAATTTCATTTTGATTATATTTTTTACCAATTTTTCATTTCAATTTTTCATTTTTTATGCACACTCATATGTACATTCATGGATATGTATGTATGAATGTGTGCTTATACACTCTTTTGAACCAAAATGGATTAATGAAAAAATAGTTTATGAATATTTAATACTTTATTCACCCATTTAATTCCATTAAATGAATAGCTACAAATGTAAACTTGTGCATACATACACACATATGTATGTACATATGTAGATGTTAGCATGTTTATTAAAGAATAAACTTGGTGTCTTCTGTTTGACATTTGGTAAACTCGTACTTCTTTTGACTGGATTTCTCTACAAGGTGCACATTCCAGGTGCATGCCCTCATATAGTAATACTCAATTTTCGGAGGTCGTCATCAAAAGGGGGCTACCTTAGCCGATACGATATTGAATAACTTTTCATTGTCTCAATAAATTATTTTAATTACATTAATTATTATTGGCCAACGCAGTAGGTTAGCAATGCCTACTGCCATTCGGAACGTCCTGGGCTCAAATCCTGGCATGGCTAATATCCAAAAATTTGTGGAAAATTAATTTAAATAAAAAATTAAGTTAAATTTTCTAATTGCGATCGCCTCTCGGCAAGGAGTTTCAAACCCTCCCTGTCTACTGGTAATGTAAAATTTCGCCTGTTAAATGACTATTGAGGGAACTTTTTGATATTTTCTTGTCATAAATTATTTTTCAGTTACATTCCTTTTATACTTTAAATATTTTCTTTTCTTGAATTTTTATAATTCAATTCCGATTTTCAAACTTATGACACACAAATAATACAAATATGAGTCACTTCTACTATGTACTTCTCATTAAGATTTGTATATATGTACATATGTTTACCTCTTAGTTGGTACAAAAGTGTGTAGCAGAACTTGTATATTTCAGATTCCATTTTAACTAATAACGAGAGTTCTGGTTCAGAGAAAGACCAACTAAGAAGGTCCATACAACTTTAGACAAAACTCGTCTCGGTGGTATTATGGAAGTAGTAGGTGACTTGACATTATCGAATTAACTAATGTCTAAGTACTATAGAAGTGACTCATTATAAAAACCAGCGAAACATATTGTAGTAGGAGGACAATTCGCCCCATCGTAGGACATGCCTTTGTAAAATTCTACGGTTGACAATTGATTAGGCGGTGGCTGTCTACCACACATAATTGTTGTTAGCTTATCGTTAGTCACTTTCCTTGCAGGGACATTTATTCACAAGAAGTCTACAAACTGAAATTCATATGAAGAAAGATTCAACCAATTCAAGCAAGTACCTGCACATTTAAAAATTATGATTACAAATTGTAGTTATTGTTGTAACCGCAAAAATATTCCTCAAAGTGATTTTTTGGGAATGTTACGAGAGCGACAGTCCTTGGTCGGTTTAAAGACACGATTGTCGTGGGAAAAATGGGACAAATTCTATATATGAATATGGAGGTGGCGGCTTCTAATGGCTAACACGTTTGAACAGCCTCAAAATCACTGTCGTCTTGTAGAGTATGTATGAGCAACGGCGGTTGCCACTTTACATGGATATATCCTTCTTTAACGGTATGCGTCATAATGTTTTTAACAAACGGAGGGATCGACAGTTTATTCTGAGCCGCCTCTTAACGGCGAAAGGATTTTTATGAGGAGCCTTTTCTATTCATATTCGAAACACACTCGGAGGGGGGGACATTCCCCTTTAACAGTTTAATTTTGTTTCGAAAAACTTCACACTTTGCGTATTAGTTTCTTAGAAAATAAATATTTTTATTCTTTGTTAAAGCTTAGTTTCCAGCTCTCAAGAAAATGCTCATGAAATTAATTAATTAAATTGAAGTAATTTTGACTTTTGATATTGTACCGTGAATGTTAAGCTCTTCTACTGTGTGTGTGTGTGTGTGTGGAAAAAGTAAACAAATAAAAAGAAATTTCTACCAACGTAAGTGATTCGTAAGTTTAAGATTCTTTTTGCTTAAGTTTATTAAAATATAGCTAGATTAAGTATTTTTTTTATTAATTTTCAGGAAATTATTTTCAGTTTCTACAAAGGAAACAGGTGAACAGAAACAGAACACACACTTTCGGAGATAGCGAATGGCTTCCGGATCCAATGAAATCTCAATTACCAATGCCATGCCATGCCAATTCCACATTTCTTTGAAATTATTAAATTGTTATTTTTATTTAATAAAAAATCAATCTATTTAAAACTTAGTTCTAAAAAATTTAATTCAAAGATTTCCATTCTGCGGGTTTCCGACTTGTTTTTTCTGATTCCACGTTCTACATACACATGTATTTTTTCCGAAAACCTGTTGCAGTATTCAATATTTTTGAAACAAAAGTAGTAAATGAACTTTCCGAATTTATTGGGAGCTCCATACTAGTCCCACGAAAATTTAAACTAGAAAATTTCTTAAGGGGAGAACCTGGTTTAGGGGGTCAAAAAATCGATTTTTTTAAACTAATCTCATGCGATTAGAAATATATTCAGAAATTTCTACAAAATTTCAGAGTCAAATTCTTAATCGTTCCGCAGAAATGGNACATTAATTATGACAGTGACCTTAAAAAATGAAATTAATTTCAATTCGAAACATGAAGTTCCCGTCCGACCAACATACTAAAGTAATTTTGCTAAATGCGTTCGCACCCGGCCGTACGGTGTGTGGAATAAACAATTGGTACTTCCATTTATTAGGAAGCATGAAGACACACACCACAAATTGGAGCGGGAGATCGGCCAAAACGGCTTTAGCAGTTACAAATCACTCCATATACATATGTATGTATATACCATATATGGATCGGATATCTCCATGTAACGCATATAAGTTTGTTACCGCCAAGCAAATTTTTCTATCCTCACTATTAAAAAACAAAAAAGTGGATATAATGTCCCCTAACAGTTATAAAAGAATATTAAGAAATATTATATGCATACATATGTATCTATTTATACTTTCCGACTATATGCATTCAGAAAATTTGTTCCAATGACAAAAGAGCCGACCCGTAATCAAAATGCTTTTTGGTTTAATGAAGTATTGAAAAGTTTGAAAAATAAGAAGACTAGATTATACAATATATAAAAGTCCGTCCGAATTTCTGTTTAAAGTGCTTAGTTAGACAAAAGTAAAATATTTTAAATAAGTCGTGTTACAAGAATTCAAAATAACATTACATTCTATAGTTTTGTTAATTCGAAGCGTAAGACTTTTGCGTTACAGTATTTTGAATCCAATTATGTGTGTATTATTAAATCAGAACCTAATTATGGCNTCCTGGGCTCAAATCCTGGCATGGCTAATATCCAAAAATTTGTGGAAAATTAATTTAAATAAAAAATTAAGTTAAATTTTCTAATTGCGATCGCCTCTCGGCAAGGAGTTTCAAACCCTCCCTGTCTACTGGTAATGTAAAATTTCGCCTGTTAAATGACTATTGAGGGAACTTTTTGATATTTTCTTGTCATAAATTATTTTTCAGTTACATTCCTTTTATACTTTAAATATTTTCTTTTCTTGAATTTTTATAATTCAATTCCGATTTTCAAACTTATGACACACAAATAATACAAATATGAGTCACTTCTACTATGTACTTCTCATTAAGATTTGTATATATGTACATATGTTTACCTCTTAGTTGGTACAAAAGTGTGTAGCAGAACTTGTATATTTCAGATTCCATTTTAACTAATAACGAGAGTTCTGGTTCAGAGAAAGACCAACTAAGAAGGTCCATACAACTTTAGACAAAACTCGTCTCGGTGGTATTATGGAAGTAGTAGGTGACTTGACATTATCGAATTAACTAATGTCTAAGTACTATAGAAGTGACTCATTATAAAAACCAGCGAAACATATTGTAGTAGGAGGACAATTCGCCCCATCGTAGGACATGCCTTTGTAAAATTCTACGGTTGACAATTGATTAGGCGGTGGCTGTCTACCACACATAATTGTTGTTAGCTTATCGTTAGTCACTTTCCTTGCAGGGACATTTATTCACAAGAAGTCTACAAACTGAAATTCATATGAAGAAAGATTCAACCAATTCAAGCAAGTACCTGCACATTTAAAAATTATGATTACAAATTGTAGTTATTGTTGTAACCGCAAAAATATTCCTCAAAGTGATTTTTTGGGAATGTTACGAGAGCGACAGTCCTTGGTCGGTTTAAAGACACGATTGTCGTGGGAAAAATGGGACAAATTCTATATATGAATATGGAGGTGGCGGCTTCTAATGGCTAACACGTTTGAACAGCCTCAAAATCACTGTCGTCTTGTAGAGTATGTTCATCAGCCATTGCCACTTTACATGGATATATCCTTCTTTAACGGTATGCGTCATAATGTTTTTAACAAACGGAGGGATCGACAGTTTATTCTGAGCCGCCTCTTAACGGCGAAAGGATTTTTATGAGGAGCCTTTTCTATTCATATTCGAAACACACTCGGAGGGGGGGACATTCCCCTTTAACAGTTTAATTTTGTTTCGAAAAACTTCACACTTTGCGTATTAGTTTCTTAGAAAATAAATATTTTTATTCTTTGTTAAAGCTTAGTTTCCAGCTCTCAAGAAAATGCTCATGAAATTAATTAATTAAATTGAAGTAATTTTGACTTTTGATATTGTACCGTGAATGTTAAGCTCTTCTACTGTGTGTGTGTGTGTGTGTGGAAAAAGTAAACAAATAAAAAGAAATTTCTACCAACGTAAGTGATTCGTAAGTTTAAGATTCTTTTTGCTTAAG